AAAAGTGTTAATTGTATGGAAAGAAAACAGGACATCCCTAACTTGAACATTCTGAAAGTTAGTGCTACTAAATTTTGAAAAATAAAGAAACAATGTTACGACTGCAACAAACATATATATAAAAGGTATTTCCATACAGGGGACTATTAACCAGCTTTAGTTTCCAAACAAAAACATACGTCAGGAAGTCAAAATTGGTTATTATGTTATTTGTGAAATGACCCTTAATGATCCAACAAATGTACATTGCTGTAGTCCTATATGTTTCCATGTTATTGGTGCCAATTATGAAGAAGAGTGTTCAGTCATGATGTGGTGTGGAGAAGACTTCCATTGACTGACACAACTAATCTAATTTTAAGTCCTGAATCTAAGCCAAAATATAGAAGACAAGCACATTAAGCTACTGACCCACTAGATTCCTTGGTTCTATTCAGTTATGATAATCAACAACTATAAATCATCTCTGCTGAAGGATGGTTATGAGTGGTGTGGCTTGTGGTTGATACCCAACCCAAGTTTCCCAAGCACAGCTTATGTGCAGGAAAACAGACAACTAGAAGGCTTTAAAAGCATTAATATCGTCATCAAAACAGCAGCAAATGCTAAGTAAATCACTCAGAGCATCCACTGTTGATTCACTCTAATGTATAGAATACATTTATTGGGTCATTTGAGCTGCATGAGGTATAAAACTCCTAGTGGAAATCATCAAATTCTCACTGCCTCCTTTTAGAACACACAATAAAGTGCTAGCTTTTGAAAAATATGCTCTTATGCAATCAGAAACAACACTTTCTATTATATCACAAGCAAAATTGGGAGACACCAACAGTGGTTAGGAAACTAAGCAAGACAGAGACAGACAGACAGACAAGGAAGCTCATAACATGAATATTCTATCTGGCAAAACCAGTGATAAGTCTTGTAATTTTTTTCTGAGAATTTTTCAGTGCTTTGTTTTTTGCAGAAAATTGTCCCTCCCACATCACTAATAATGCAAATCTTCTTATGTAAACTTCAATAATTAACATACGGTAATGTACATTAACATACTTAAACTAAAGACTATCCTATGTAAATTACTACATGCAATTTTGCATAGGGAATTTTTCCAGAAAATTTTCCAGTTCAAAATTTTCTGGGAAACCTACATCACTGGGTCCTAAAGCTGTGTAATTAATCAGTCTGAAGATTCAATTTAAATGTGATTCAGCTGCATCCCCAACTTGATTTAGTTGCTTCTGATTTTATTTGGATGCTTCAGATACTTCTGAATTGATTCCAAAATTTCAACACATCTGGAGAAAAAAAATCTGAATCAAGTCAACCCAATCAACAATTTGATTCAAATATCCAAATTGAATCAGACTGATTATCTGATTTGTTTAATTGAATCAAATGGATTTTCCAATCACACTGACAGTGTACTGTAACTTTGATATTGGCAGTTTCACACAGATCTACTGGACCTATTTCACCAGACCCATGGTATTCAAATTGTGTTCCCTGGAACCCTAGGGTTCTGTGAAAATCATCCAGTGGTTGAACATGACCATTTCTCTTTACATTGTATGAAATGTATTATTGCAACATTAATTGTAACGTTTGGTTCCAATAAAATGCATTACATAAAACTTATTTATTAAAGGGAAAAATCCACACTGATTTTTCAATTGAGAAGGGTTCCTCGGTTATCTCAAATTTGAAGACCACTGTACTAAACTGTTTTAGGCATCGCATTTTCAGTTATCTAACTAAAATATGAAGCTGACTTGCATTTCAGGACTATTATCATGAGGCACATGCGAAATGTCTCAACACTCCAAAGCGCTACATGATTATAATTAAGTATAACTGTAAGTTCAATACAATTAAATATATCACACTAGCTTAATTGATGGAACTGCACAATCTGCATATTTTTGGATGAGAAGAACAGGAAATTACAACTGAAGACGAGGCATGAGACTGGTGGGTATATGTCCTTCAGTCCTTAGAAAACTAAGATCATTATAGGAAAGGATTATATAACAGGAACAGCTATGTACAAAATCTGAACCAATAATTAAATATTCAACACTCAACTCGCTATTACAATATCTAGGCCAAGTTACGGGATATATCTTTTATACAGATCTTATCACCCTGGATCTGTAAATTAATAATATCAGGTAAGTTCAAGAATACTAGAAGGGAGTAGCATCTATTGCTGGAGTAGTAAATTAAGTCCGGAATTAAAGACAACTGCAGTCATACTGGAATTAAAGAGGCAACTGCAATCATACAGAATACCTACAGGACTAAGGGAAGAGTAAGCCAACCCAGAAAAAGAATCTTTGGGGCTTCTGTTAGCAATGGAAAGGCGAATCTTTCCAGACAACCCCTCCTGAACATAACAATAATTCTACATCAACATGAACAAGATTACAGCTCTTTTTGAGCTTTAATTACAATAGAGAACTTGGGCAGAGTTGCCATTTAATAGCCCTAGTTTACATTATCTAGCTCCCCTCTATTCCCACACATAGGCAGCTATTATCCATGACAGATTTTTGCTTTACTTCTAAATAAATATTTTTCAGTGCAAGAGTTTTTAAAAACAACTAACCAGATAAAACAGTCATTCAAGTAAGAAATACAAAAAGCATCATTAGAACAAACATTAAATCAAAAAGGAATACATCAATCCCAAATCAAATATCATACAGTCTAAATAACTTCTGAAATATAAACCATGCCTGATCACCAAGTACAAAGCCAGTGTGGTCGGAATATCAGATTAGAACCGGTGATTCAGAACTTAAACAAAACAACAAACACATAACAATGGTAACAACAATGGGGGAAAAAACCCCTAAAATTTACAGTGAATACTACACTTAGAGTAAACTGCTACAAGACCAATTCGTAATGGTATATTAGGCCGGTACTGATTACTAACACAGATAATTCATTAACTAAACATTGTTGGCTGGATTTTTTTCCCATATTTGCTGGCCCACAATTCTGAAAATGATTTGCAACAGAATGAAATAAATTCTAAAAGTTCATTCTCTTTTCAACCTGTTATTTTCCTATTGTTATTAAACCTCAGATTCCCCCCATGGTATACTAAACTGGCTTTGCATACAATATGATTACACCTGTTAGGATATTCTATGCTTCTCATTAAGGAATTAAATTGCAGGAGTATGCCTCAATGTCAAAAATAACCTTGGGTTTGAAAAATGCATCTAATACAGAATTCAATTCAACATGGAAACCATTCCTGGATTATAATTCCACATATGGGCTTGTATCACATCTGAAGTTTGGGTTTCTTCTAACATAAGATTTTAACACTTAACCTTTTTGTCTGACTTTAAAAAGTGCATCTTTTTTTTTTAGACTGAGCAAAAATTATTAAAATTTTTCAATTTGACTCATGATTTATATTATATTTGCATATTATCTTTAATTTAATAATGATCTGAAGTTTTACATTGACATAAGGTATTTCCGTAGAACTAAACCAATATTACCTTGAATTTTTATTTAATTTCATAATACTTTAAAATCTTTACTTTTTTTTTTTTTGCTTTTCCTAGTTTTTTGTTTCTTGATTGTTTTTTAAAATTTAATCAAATACAATTTAAAAAGGAAAAAAAGAACTACTGAGACTGGGGTTCAAATTTCCCCACAGCCATGAAAGTTCACTAAGTGACATAAGACGGTTATTATCCCTTAAATTATCTAAGTATAAAATATATCCATCAAGCTTTTTGGATGAAAGAGGGAGAAAAGAGAGAAATGGAATGGAATAGGATGTGTGTGTGTGTGTAATAAAAGCAAGCAGAAGAAAACTCATGCTGGTCATTTCACCAAAAAAAAAAATCATTATGCCTCAAAAGTTTCTGCCTCTGGTACTTACTTTAAACAGTGAAGAAACATATTTATGTAAAGAGTGGGAATAAAATTCTTTAGCTGATTTGATCCCAAATTAGGATTAATTCTTCAGTTTCGGAAAAACAGGCTGGCATTTGGCAAGAAATAAATTGAAAAATTGCCTTTTAATGTATCTGCTACTTCATGAGATATAATTAAATGCTTAAAAGGTATGTATAGAATTGTCTAAAAAAATTCTTCTGATAAATACTTAATATTCATTATTTATAGTTAAACAGTTACAGATATTATACAGGTAAAACATGCCGGTGTAAATTTTCTGTATGCAATATGACAGACTAGAGAAATTGTGATAAAACTCCCTGAGTTATAGACAGTCTCCCGTCTGTACTTACTTGAACCCATTCCACTGAGTCCAAGTTATTTATTTCTTTTGTGCTTAATTAAGTTCTTCATAAACCAACCAACCGTAACAACAATAATGGAACGCAGAATTGGGGGAGGGGTTTACTTTTCGGTTAGGAAAATGACAAAAAAAGATACTGCGCAAAACGTCACTGTTTCAATAGGCAACTCAACTGCTTATATTTCTTTGAAAGGATTCCGTGGTACATGCACACTTCTGCTATTATGTTAAGGAGAGAGAGGAATCAAATTCTTGAAGTCAAATTTAATAAACCAGGAAATCTGATCCAAATACCACATAATAAATTAGTTAGAAGCCACTAAGAAAAAAGCCTACATCCCCATCTCCCTTAGTAATACATTTTAGTTTACCAAGGCAATGATAGCAAAATCAGCTACAATTATGTTAAATATTTATTGCTAAATCCATTAATATTTTCCCTAGGCACCAAAGCACTATGATATAACCTTCAGAGGGTAGTGAGGCACTCTGAAAACATAGCTTAGAGCTCCCTCTTCCTTTCACTGGAAAAAATTACTTTTTGCCCTATAAATTTCAGCTCCAAAGCTTTTTAATCATATGTTTAGAAATTTTGCATGTGCCAGAAACTGCTTCAAATAAGCAATCTTAAATCACTGCTAGATTACTGAGTAGTGAATGCCAATCAATCTGGAAAATTATTTCTGAATGTATTACAGCTACTCACAGTGCCATTTCAAACTGTTCAAGCCATTTCTTCTTCAAATCTTTGGTTT